TGTTTGAGTTATTGAAGCAAAATGAACTGAAAATGGGGTCAAAAAGAAAGTGAAACTAGCTCCATTGTTCTTACTTAATGCTGAGTAAACATATCTTCCTGCAAGTAAGTTTCTAATGGCATTCATCCTTTGATTTAACCGAGAATTCAAATGCATTATGCATGCAGTTTAACTAGTTAAATGCAATGGTATAAAAACGTCACAAGTTCAATTTATTTTATCTTTGAGTTTAGATATTATTTCCTAACTTTGTTTACTATGAACAAGTCTTGTAAGCTCACGAATTTGAGCTGCATTTGTATCAACTGTTAGTTCTAACTCCTTGATCTGGTTCTGGAGATCAGTCAATTTTCTATTTTGATCTTCCTCTTTCTTTGCCTCTTTATTCTGTCCTCTACGGTATTCAAAATACAATGTCAATGTGGCAATTCCAAATATCAGTGATTCTCNNNTATGTGGGCCTTTGACTACAACTGCATCACGCAGTCACATAGTCAAGTCAGGATAAGCGGACACGCGCATATGACTCATAACTACATCACGCAGTCACATTAAGGCATATCAGAGATGCAACCATTCCTACTTTATTATTTAAATCACTTAAATCATGTTGTTCTTATGCTAACTAGTATTTTTAAGTGCAGGGTAAATTGTATTAGAAAACGTCACATTATTTAAAAGTGAATTCGAGCTGCCTCAAACCAAGAGAGGATATATCCTCTCTTGTTAAAACTTGATGGCGCTTACTCCTGATCTCGTTCAGTTTCGTAATATATTGGCAAATTTTTCTTGAGTTAAATTCTGAAAGGCTGTATCGAAGTTCAGGAAAAGGAAAAGAAAGCCGTTTTTATTGTCTTTATATAAAGAACTTGTAAGTCCTCGTAATTCTATCTAAATCATTATTTTTATTACAAAGTGCGGCAAGTGTTATTACAAAGTGAGACAGGTATTCATGACAAAGTTCGACAATTTTATTACAAAGTGCGGCAGAACAAACATGCCTAACACTAACTGTCTTAGTGTATACTTTGGAAATTTTATTATTGCAACGTTTTAGCTCTGATCATTATTCTATTATGTCCTGCACTGTGTACCAGAGGATTTTTTTCTCTTGCGACGAGGAGATACGACCGGCAAATACTTACCCGAAACTGGAAACCGCGCGTGAAAGCCTCTGGCGCCCACAGAAATTCCGGGAAATTACATCCTTGCCTAGTCCACGTACAGCCACTCCCCACGGTAACCACAAACTGCAAAACCCTAGCCGGCCTGACTTGTATAGCAGTTAGTTGTAACTGTACTCGGCTTATGCTATAGGAAAAGATACCTTCTTTCCGCTTTGACATCCATTTTCACTTAAATTCTGTAACTCTCGATGAACGTAATAGTCTAGTGTAGCCGAAAACCTGGGCAAGAAAAATTGCCATTTCGCATTTCTTTTTGCTCACGTGACCAGCAGTTGGATCAAAAGTTTTTGCAAAAGACAAAGGTTCAATTTCCACAGGACTGTTTGGAACTTCAAAATGGGGCCTTCTTTTTCTTTTATATTTGGACAGCTCGCCACCGTTGCGTGAGGACACAAAGAACAGCTGTGGAGCAGACTGCCTACCAAAGTTCAAAAATCATTCTAAGGCCTGTCCACTCTTGACGCGTTTTCAAAAGTACGCGTTCTTGTTGTCATTAAAAACGCGTCCATCGATTCGCGTCCATACTACCGTCTTGATGCGTTTTCGACTATCAACGCTACAAACGTTCGAAAACGATAGAATTGCACGTTATTACGTAAGTTTAAATCTATGCGCATGCTTTAAGGAAACGCGCTTGCGATATTTTCGGTCAACGTGATGGGTGAGGTAACCCGCTTAGGAGGGGTTAAATATTAAACCTCCGTTACATGCAATGTTACAACCCCGCCATCCCGGGGTGCACTTTCTCCAGATTATTGAAAAGTCGCTAAGCACGTAAACAAGAAAAACGCTGGAAAACCACTTGTTTTGGTGATTAATGCTCTTCTACACTCAAGTTGCTGCTCTTGCTGCAACCTTCAGTGCTGTTGCTTTCTATGGTTACCGTTAATAATAATGTAAAACCACCGCCAAAGTGAATTTTGCACAAATTTGATGTATCACGAATCAGACCCTGGCTAGGCGGGTTACCTCACCTTTAACGTTTACATGGCAAAATTTGACTCAGGCTGAGATGGTTACCCGGTCTGGCAGACCAGGCAACCCACCTTGGCAGGTCACCCCACCTATCATGTAAACGTGATCAAAATAAAACGAGACTTGGGGACTAATAAGCCATTAAGTTGTTCTCGAGGGGAATTTCGAAAAATTGTAGTGGAGGTACTCCACCAGGGCCTAGACTTCTCGCAACTTTGTCGCTCGCTCGACCGCTTCGCGGCCTAAACAGCTCGCTCCACTCACTTGGAAACTTGTGAGGTCGACTTGTGGCAAGTATAGCCGGGGCCTTTATTCCGGCGTGGACTGGAGTAAACACATTTTCAGTTAGCCAATGTTTGAGTTATTGAAGCAAAATGAACTGAAAATGGGGTCAAAAAGAAAGTGAAACTAGCTCCATTGTTCTTACTTAATGCTGAGTAAACATATCTTCCTGCAAGTAAGTTTCTAATGGCATTCATCCTTTGATTTAACCGAGAATTCAAATGCATTATGCATGCAGTTTAACTAGTTAAATGCAATGGTATAAAAACGTCACAAGTTCAATTTATTTTATCTTTGAGTTTAGATATTATTTCCTAACTTTGTTTACTATGAACAAGTCTTGTAAGCTCACGAATTTGAGCTGCATTTGTATCAACTGTTAGTTCTAACTCCTTGATCTAGTAGGTTTTTTCCCAGGCTGATTTGTTTCCCTGGCAAATGTACAATTTCCCTGACCAACTGAATTAACAAATGCATGAATTAGTCCTGATAATGGACTCAACCCTCCCCTCACAACGGTCCCCTCCTTCCATATATTTATGCTTTTAGCAAGTCACATGCAGTATACATGTATTGATAGTTTCTTCACATAAAGGGCAAAAAGGATAGATTTTCCTGAAACCCAGTATCAGAAAACCTCACAAATACTAACTTACCCTGTTCTGGATACAGACTCAAACTCACTACCCAATGTCCACCCACCCCCCACCAACAACTGGGAGATTATCTTCCCCTCCATACTGGACCAAAGCCAAGGAAAAAAAGACTGAAGAATTCTTATTTCAAATCAAAAAAGAATACTTTGCAATAAATCCAAAATAACTTTTTCCAATAAGTCTTACATTACTTTACACAGTAACATCTAGGTTACACATGTGTACATAAATATGAAAGCTTGCATCATATCGTACAACTACGGATGGACGATCACAACTTACCCTGCCCCGGCCATATACAAACATATCTCCTGAAGAACTCATTTTGCTTCGCTGCCGACTTTAAGCTGTTGGCTACAGGTTTGGAGATCTGTTTAACAGCTAAACTCACCAATTTAAACAAAGGAAAAGCGCCGACAACCATGGTGAAAGTGAAACGTGGACAGAAATATACTACATGTACGGATCTATGAATAGTCAATACTACTTTCGACGTAAATCCCAGTCTCCACTCCATTTCTTGGAGGGTATCAAGAACCATTTTTTTAGTCCTTGCTGTAATGATCCAAAAAATTTATTGGGGATACAACTTATGAGAGGACCGGCTTCTTTTACAAAAAAATGTTTTAATAAGTATTGGTTAAAAATGTTGTGGACCAGGAGCCGATTTTGGGTTTCCGTGTGAACGCGCAAAGGCGGTTATTGACACCCGTCACGCAACGGTCGATACTGAAATTTTTCAGCATTATTCCTTTATTTTCCGCTTCCGGTTCTGTCTCCGTCTTAAATGTTACCTGTAAGCAATTAAGCTCTTGTATATTTGGGATCTAAAAGTTCCAGATAGGAAAACATATCAAAAATCATTCTAAGGCCTGTCCACTCTTGACGCGTTTTCAAAAGTACGCGTTCTTGTTGTCATTAAAAACGCGTCCATCGATTCGCGTCCATACTACCGTCTTGATGCGTTTTCGACTATCAACGCTAAAACGTTCGAAAACGATAGAATTGCACGTTATTACGTAAGTTTAAATCTATGCGCATGCTTTAAGGAAACGCGCCTGCGATATTTTCGGTCAACGCGGTAGGTGTGGTAACCCGCTTAGGAGGGGTTAAATATTAAACCTCAGTTACATGCAATGTTACAACCTGCTCTTCTACACTCAAGTTGCTGCTCTTGCTGCAACCTTCAGTGCTGTTGCTTTCTATGGTTACCTTTAATAATAATGCAAAACCACCCCCAATGTGAATTTTGCACAAATTTGATGTATCACAAATCAGACCCTGGCTAGGTGGGTTACCTCACCTTTAACGTTTACATGGCAAAATTTGACTCAGGCTGAGAGGGTTACCCGGTCTGGCAGACCGGGCAACCCACCTTGGCGGGTCACCCCACCCATCATGTAAACGTGATCAAAATAAAACGAGACTTGGGGTCTAATAAGCCATTAAGTTGTTCTCGAGGGGAATTTTGAAAAATTGTAGTGGAGGTACTCCGCCAGGGCCTAGACTTCTCGCAACTTTGTTGCTCGCTCGGCCGCTTCGCGGCCTAAACAGCTCGCTCCACTCACTTGGAAACTTGTGAGGTCGACTTGTGGCAAGTATAGCCAGGGCCTTTATTCCGGCGTGGACTGGAGTAAACACATTTTCAGTTAGCCAATGTTTGAGTTATTGAAGCAAAATGAACTGAAAATGGGGTAAAAAAGAAAGTGAAACTAGCTCCATTGTTCTTACTTAATGCTGAGTAAACATATCTTCCTGCAAGTAAGTTTCTAATGGTATTCATCCTTTGATTTACCCGAGAATTGAAATGCATTATGCATGCAGTTTAACTAGTTAAATGCAATGGTATAAAAATGTCACAAGTTCAATTTATTTTATCTTTGAGTTTAGATATTATTTCCTAACTTTGTTTACTATGAACAAGTCTTGTAAGCTCACGAATTTGAGCTGCATTTGTATCAACTGTTAGTTCTAACTCCTTGATCTGGTTCTGGAGATCAGTCAATTTTCTATTTTGATCTTCCTCTTTCTTTGCCTCCTTATTCTGTCCTCTACGGTATTCAAAATACAATGTCAATGTGGCAATTCCAAATATCAGTGATTCTCCAAGCAGCTCTGCACCAACATCAACTGCAACTTGTTCACTTAACGGCTGAACTTTATCTGGGCCTGCCAGTCCCATCAATTTCATCCTCACCCTTGTCTCAAACCAATGATAGCCTGTTTGGATCAAAACGAATTTAAGATTGAAAAAATACAAAATATATCTGAAAAAAAAAAGAGAAAATTTTTCTATACCTGGACCCGCAACACGGGGCTGTCAACCCCCCCCCCCCCCACCCCCTCATCATCAAATATTGACAATTGATAGGAAAGGAATGACAGATAAGATGGCGTCATACCGCACAACAAATGACATCATTTGTGCCAAAAATGCTCGCTGATTCCGCTCGACGTATATAGCACACAAACAGTTCATATTCAGCCACATCATTGCTTAAATTTCAGTGGCATACCAGAATTTATGAGGAAACGTTCCATGTAAACAGTAGCTCAAACAACGCAAAATATTTGAATTTTATGGTCGGAAAGTCGAGTCTACAAGAAATAGCAACTTTGGTGATTATCCGGGAGATTTCAGAATCTAACCTGGAGACCGGGAGATACATTCCAAAATCTGGAATTATCCGGGAGAGTTTACAGCACTGTCAACAACAGAATGACAGATCTGGTGGAAATAATTTTCTCGGGCTTCTTTGAGAGTTTTTGGTCGTGGTGTGATCACTTAGGAGAAAAATGCTTTGGCCTTTTATCAAATTATCTCAACTAATTCTTTCAGAAAATGAATTAGGAGAATTTGTATGTCAGTATTGGAGCTTACAGGGTTAAAAGGTTGTCTACCACTGATATGTACCTCTTTGAGGATGTTTGAGCAATGTGGGTCATTTCTAAGTTTCAGTGGAATAAATTGGAATATTCAGTGGAATAATTAACTGATGTAGAACAACCCTACTGTCAAGAGTAATCTAAGGAGAGGTGGGATAGACAGGTATACATGAAGGTTGTAGGTTTTTTCCCAGGCTGATTTGTTTCCCTGGCAAATGTACAATTTCCCTGACCAACTGAATTAACAAATGCATGAATTAGTCCTGATAATGGACTCAACCCTCCCCTCCCCCCTCACAGCCATCCCCTCCTCCCATATTTTATGCTTTTAGCAAGTCACATGCAGTATACATGTATTGATAGTTTCTTAACACAAAGGGCAAAAAGGATAGATTTTCCCGAAACCCAGTATCAGAAAACCTCACAAATACTAACTTACCCTGTTTTGGATACAGACTCAAACTCACTACCCAATGTCCACCCACCCCCCACCAACAACTGGGAGATTATCCTCCCCTCCATACTGGACCAAAGCCATGGAAAAAAAGACTGAATAATTCTTATTTCAAATCAAAAAAGAATACCCTGCAATAAATCCAAAATAACTTTTTCCAATAAGTCTTACATTACTTACACAGTAAAATCTAGGTTACACATGTGTACATAAATATGAAAGCTTGCATCATATCGTACAACTACGGATGGACGATCACAACTTACCCTGCCCCGGCCATATACAAACATATCTCCTGAAGAACTCATTTTGCTTGGCTGCCGACTTTAAACTGTTGGCTACAGGTTTGGAGATCTGTTTAACAGCTAAACTCACCAATTTAAACAACGGAAAAGCGCCGACAACCATGGTGAAAGTGAAACATGGACAGACATATGCAACCTCGTTCCCAGGGTTCTCTCCTACCCGCCCTCTCTCCGTAGGGCGGGTAGGAGAGAACCCTGGGAACGAGGTTGAGAAATATGCTGCATGTACGGATCCATGAATAGTCAATACTACTTTCGATGCAAATCCCAGTCTCCTGAGTCTCCACTCCATTTCTCAGAGGGTATCAAGAACCATTTTTTTTAGTCCCTGCTGTAATAATCCAAAAAATTTAGAGGGGATACAACTTATGAGGGGACCAGCTTCTTTTACAAAAAAATATTTAAATAAGTATTGGTTAAAAATGCTGTGAACCAGGAGCTGATTTTGGGCTTCCGTGTGAACACGCAAAGGCGGTCATTGACACCCGTCACGCAATGGTCGATACTGAAATTTTTCAGCATTATTCCTTTATTTTCCGCTTCCGGTTCTGTCTCCGTCTTAAATGTTACCTGTAAGCAATTAAGCTCTTGTATATTTGGGATCTAAAAGTTCCAGATAGGAAAACATTCAGGCGAGATCGTTGCGTGATGCACCATGTCGTAGTTACATGCCGAAAAGACTGGGGCGAATGAGGGCCAATCCGGAAGATAGGATCGCCATTGTACAGAAAATTAACCTCGCTCGTTTTGGTTCTTTACAATGCGATAAGTTGTCATCTCTCTTTATGGACGGGAGCTTAGATCCCGAGGAAGCATGTATGTTGATTGGAGAGGAGCTGGAGATCGAGCGATCATGTGTTCGACCTTGCTTTGACGAAAATGGAAGTCGCGTTTGCTGTTTGGTACGTGAGTCTGAAAATTGAAATGCCTTGAAAATTGACTTAGAATTGTTTCTTGTGATATTATAACGTCTCTATCGTGGTAAGAAATTATGCTTAGACCTTGAAGCTTAGTTACACAGAAACTGAATTCGTTTAAGTGAAACAAGTGACAGTCATGCATACAACATTTTTCAGCACTAACCAAGTTAAGTATGCTTATGAATTTAATTTATAATGTAACATAAGCTTACCCAAACCAGAGAGTTGAATGGATTTAAATCTATTCGTGGTTAAGCTGACGTGTTTCTTATATTTATATTTTTTTGCTTCAGAACTTTAAGCCTGTTTCAATAAATTACTTGCTTAACGATGACACGCACTTTATTATGCAGTACTAACTTTACCTTTGGACTGCGTGAGTTCAAGTTCCAGCAAATCCTTAGTCGTACTGGCTTTCACTTTCTTTTGTTTACTTAAGCTCAATAAAGTTTCATTTCTTTCACAATATGGTTTCAGTACTATGTACAAAACCTTCTACACATATTGTGCTGTATTGTATGTAAAATATGAATGGAGGGAAATACTCATCTGGCTAATTTTTATGGATTGTAAAAAAAAGCATTCAAGGTTGTTAATCTTGACATGCTTTTGACAAAACTGCAAAATGATTGATATGAAAGGCATTTTTAGCTCTAGAGTAAATCAGATCTAAAAGATTGACAATGGTCAGTCTTAACAGGTTGCTAAATAATAATAATAATAATGATAATAATAATAATAATAATAATAATAATAATAATAATAATACCATCTTCATGTGGGTTGGCTCAAGGCTGAGTTATTGGACCTTTGTTGTTATTCTTACTATAAATATTAAATGAAACCCATGAAACCCTCTTTTTTTGCTGAATATATAATCCTAGTCTTTGTAGATAATAACTGTGAAGTCTTTTGAATCAACAAACTAAATCTAAACTTCCTCCCTGACGATTGTACCTTTTGTTCCTGGGATTAAGATCTTCAATTCAACTACATAAATCAAGCAACACTAGAGATTATGGACTTAATTGTCTGGGTACCATTATGATATCTTCAGTGGAAACACCGTACCGAATTTATTTGCCACAAAATAAAAAATTTTCCTCATGGTACAACCAATAAGAAGCACTACCCAGATCTCAGTAGTGACGCATCATCAGTATGGAATTTCTATGCTTATTTTGCAGGGAAACCAGTGTTGGCGTTGGGGAGTGTCACCTGTTTTCTCAGGCTACCAACACTTCCAAACTCTAATTAAATCTGGAGAATGTGTTCCCTCGGTGAAGAAATTACATTTTTTGGCGTGAATAATAATTATTCACTAGAATAAATTTCTTTAGCCCTATTAATCTAAGCATCATTTGAATTATTAGTGAACATCCTCAGTCACACTTGGTTCTTCTATTTTTAAGGTCCATGAGAACTGGGTCCAAAGATATATAGCAGGGGACCCATCTCATGATGGGCCCCCTCAGGTCTCCCTGTGGAGCCCCTATGAACATCAGCTCATCTTACAGCCCTCGCACCCTGAGCCAGATGCACCATGGATGAGAATAAGCATTGTTATTATCAAGAAGCCAATCAGAAAATCACCTTTGCAGAAGAGGTTGGTGTGAAGCAATTATTATTGGGTAGGGTTGTCTCTTGAAAGTAAAATTTTTAACTCAATGTTGAAATTATGAAACCTGACTTGACATCCACGAAGATAAATATAATTCAATCTTCTAAATTATCCTTTTAAGTTGATCGAACCTTCAATAAGCAGACACACCTAGAGCTTGATAAAAGAATAATTCTCTGGAGAGGTGTCTGCTAAAGGCAGGTTAAAAATGTAGTGTTTGGAAGTTTCTAGGACCAAAGGGACTATTGACACTTTCCCTGCTGGTCTCTTGTACCAGTATTTCAGAAAGTACTGTAAATTCTCTACCAAGCCTCTACTAGGGCTTTCAAACAAGAGGAGCAAGCCCATTTGAGGAGGGGGGGTGGGGGCTTATTTAATTTGGAAACAATGATGGTATCAGTTCTCCATAAAGAAGTAGAATACAAAGTGGAAAAGTTCAAGTACATGAAATTTTAGGTCATGTAGCCGAGGATCAGAATCAAATCCGATCTTCCAGTTGGTAAGTAAACCATCCTGGATCAGTCCACACAAAGTTTTGCAGTCGTGTTTGTTTAGTACAGTCTAGCATTTACTAGTGAAGAATAAATAGAGGAGGGGAGGGGGGGCTTCTTAACTTTCTTCCCCTGAAAAGGGGGGACTTAATAGAGGATTTACACTATATTATTTTAAATTCATGACATTTCAGCTTTGTTGGTCATTTTGCAAGAGATGTTGGTGATGGAAACAAGTTTGTGGACTTGTCCTATGCTGAGCTGATGCAATGTGTTGGTGTGCAGAATTTTCTTCATAGCTGGGACGATGCATTGGACACTTTTCCCCTTGCTGCACACTGCGGTCTCCCTGACCCACCAGCAAAAGAATCAGATAAGGTATGGTAAGAAAAAGAGGAAAATAAAAACTTTGATGAGATATGCAAATGCATTGTTAATGTGAAGAACATTTCCCGGAATATTTTATGTTAATAAAAAATCCTATATGCATTCAATAACAAACTAACTTTTACATTCACAAGACTATCTGTTACCACTGCTTCTCTGAATTCTCTTGAGGGAGGAGGGGGAGTGTGGTGGGGTTCAGTTGGGTTGTTTTTGTTGCTGTGCAAAAATTTGTTGAGACCATCAACTCTGATAGGCCATTTCTGAGTTTCAAAATCTGTTTTTTTTTTCTGAAACGAGGCTAAGTGCAAACCTTTCTTAGGAAAATGAGTTTTGTTTGCATGAGAATAAAAAAATCATTTTTTTATTAATGGTTTTGCACTTAGCTTCGCTTTGAAACAGAGGCTTGGAGCAACTCGGAAATGGCCTATTTTGAATGTTGGACGAGCGTGGAGAAATATTGTCCCCAGTTTAGCCTTATTTGAGCAAAAAATAGTTTTAAAGGGTGGTGTACATTTGGCCAGTACAGCGTGCAAAGAAAGTGGTGTCCGATAGGCCGAGGCTAGTGGATTTTGCTATCGGGCTAGTGAATTCTGTTTTTAACTTGCCCGACGGGCAAGTGATGTTTTTTGAGAAAGTCAAATAAAAGAAGAACTGTGAAATCAATTCTGCAAGTCAAAAAGTTTTTGGGGCTAGTTGAAATGCAGTCTGGGCTAGTCAATGCTAGCTTCAGCTTGCCCGAATGGCAAGCTGTAAAAATGATTTTCTTTGCACCCTACAGTATCACGGAATAACCTTAACTTAACCTGGAAGCAAGTTAGAAAACTGGGCTGGGTTGTTCAAAGCTGGGTTAAAGATGACCCATGGTTAGTGCGAAATTTGAATTCAGATATAAATGCTAAAAACGTAAATTCAGTTTCATTCTTTTAGTCAGCAAGTTGATGATTGGATGCTCTTAAAAATAACAGAGAAAATTATCTGAGAAAAAGCTTTTGAACAAAAGAAAAAGAAGCCCGGGTTAAATTTAACCCTGGGTTAAGCGCTAATCAGCCTTCAAACAACTGGGCCCCGTTCTCCTCCAAGGAAACTCTAAGATTTCGGCGAGGAACGAGCTCTTAACGCCAAATAAGAATTTTACAATCTCTCTACATTTTATATACATACATTGTGTTTGACTTTATTGCAGAATATGATGGAAGAAATACTATTGAGTGCATATGGTCTGTCACCAATGAAACTGGACAATGCAAGGCAAAGTAATTTCGAATCGTCAGCTGAACGTGATGCATTTGACGATTTCAAAGAGGAGTCAGAAGGATCGTTGATGTCTCTAATCATGAAGCAGAATGTCGTTCCTTTCGTTTGCGCTTTGGAAGGAAAATCCGCGTACTTTCTTGTTGAGCCATATTTTCAACACAGTCTTCATAACATGGTAACATTTAGCCCGTACGTGCTCTCAGCTTCCCATATGCGACCGCTGTTTTTGATATATCAGCTTCTTCACGCACTCCACTGGTATCACAGCCGTAGATTATCTCACGGAGCATTGACTCTCGACAGTGTTAAGATTAGTAAAGGATTGTGGATTTACCTTGAGTCGCCTGACTTCGTACGGACTCTTCATCACAATTCAGACCTCGCAACATGCGAACTTGAAAGTATGCGGGATAATAAAGCAGGTTTACTA